AAAAACTGTAAAAAAAATTACTGATTATAAATCAGTTAATGAGTTTAATAAGTTTAATAATAAAATTTTATTAGAATTTTATTAAATTATTATTTTTTTTTTTGTATTTAATAAGGAAATACAATAAGAAAAATTGTTGAAAAATCCTCAAGTGAGTCTCATATATAGAAAGTTAGAGAAAACATTTTAAAAAAACTGTAAAAAAAATTACTGATTATAAATCATCAAATGAGTTTCATATATAGAAAGTTAGAGAAAACATTAAAAAAAAAAACTGTGAAAAGAAAAATTTACTGATTATAAACTGTGAAAAATCATTTCAATGTCGTGCTTTTATTTTTTATGATTCTACAGAATTCGGTGCTGGAATTTAAGAAAGTGGTGAATGCAAAGGAGCAGGTGGTTTCTGGAATGATGTATTATATAACCTTGGAGGCAATGGATCGTGATAGGAAGAAAGTCTACGAAGCTAAAGTCTGGGAGAAGCCTTGGTTGAATTTCAAGGAGGTCCAGGAGTTCAAGCTCGTCGGTGATGCTCCTGCAGCTTCCAGCACTTAGCTAGGTAGGTGCTTACTTTTTGGTACATTTGATAATAATAATGATGGATTATACAGTAGGAATAACTTTCTTTTTTTCTTAACTTCTTCTTTACTCGACTCAAAATTTAAACTTAAGATCTTGAAGTTGAAATCTCAAACTCTTAATCATTGAATCAAGTTTAAGTAGGTGCTTCTTAAATTGCCCTGTATCTGCCTCTAAAAGATACTACCTTTGTGTTGTGTCCATTGACTCTATTTATTTATGTCCTAAATTTGCTATTCATGGATTATTTGTCCAGAACTTGCTATTCATGGAGTAATATCATTCCAACAAAATCTCTCAAAAGTTCTAATTATTTTATTGGCTTGATTTATGCATCTCAATTTGATTATTTTTTAGGCTTAATTAATGGTTTAGTTTTACATGAAACATAATTATCTACCTTTTTCCAAATTCAGGTGACTGCAGATGAGATGTTGCTGACTATGCTTTATCAGGTCAGGGGTTGAAGATGTATAGAACACATCAGAACATGATGTTCGTGTTCTGGCTGAAACAAATGTACCTTCACTGTTTTCAATCTATCTTATAATTAAGTACAACTATTTTAAATTTGTATATGATGATGCAGACTGATAAATATTGTGTGAAATAATTTGCGCGTGTTAGAAATTTCAATTTTTTAGCAATACTATTGGATCTGTTTATGGTGTAATTACTAAAAGGGTATATGTAAGTCAAACGTAAGAACGATATTCATGTTTGTTTTGCAACTGATGATTCTTGATATTGGATCTGTGTCAAATTCATGGTACATTCCTAAAACAAAGAGACAAATATAATATGGGGAAACGAGTTCGAGCAATGAATTCATTCATACATAAAACCATCAGCATTAGCTTCGAAGATCAAAACATGAGGATTACAAGCTCTCGGTAAAACTTAATGGGCATCCATTTCTTCCAGTGCAGCTCTAGCAGTAACCTTTGCTTCCTCTAACAGTGCGTCAGAGACCTGAAAGATTGCCAAAAGGGAAGGACATAGTGGAATGAAAATTACAGCAATACTTCAATCTAAACTAACACATAATGTGGGTTAGATAGAGAAATGGGGGAAAACCAGTTTCAACGTTCAAATATCTTTACATGAAAGATGTGAGCACGAGGAGGAAAATGAAGTTACTACACGTCAAGAGGTATTGGTAAAAGACTAATATTCTCTGGATCCAGAAGGGGGGAGACAGAGTAACGTGCTTCACCCAAATTAACCAAAGCTCTTTTCTCTTGTAGGACTAGGACCTTCACTGTTCTAGATTAGTTGGAAACGTTACGAAATTGCTTTTCCAAAAGAGTATCAGATATCACCTTTTCATGTTGTTTCTTGGACTCGTCACAGACCCCACTCATTTCCAATTCAAAGGCCTTGTCCTTTGCCTCGTCATGTACCTTGTAGATGCTTCCCAAGAATAACGCACAAAATGAATCTAAAACTACCTTGAAAGACAAACTCTTGAATAGAGGAATTCCCTCTAAATGCAAGCATATTACAGGGAAAACAAGAAAAGAGAGAAGAAAAAGAAAGAAGATAAAGCATACTCACATTTTGGCAACTTCAATAACTCCCTCTCTGCATGTCATTTCAGAGAGCTTCAACTTTTCAATTTTTCTGTTCACAAATGTCCATTGGACCATAATAAATTAGTTATTTAACCTCAGTTACAAATGAACAAATGAGAGGAACTGAATCTGCACATGGACATGATTGTCATCTACTTCGCTACATCTAGCTCCCTACCATTTCTTATCCTCTTCTTTTCTTAAACAAATTTCAAATTTCTATCATTGATCTTTTTCTTTACAAAGAAACAATGCATAAATTTACTTGCTTGAGAAATTGATAGATGTGTTGGAAGGGTCTAAATTGACTAAGTTGGGGTTCCACACAGGTCACAGGGAAAGGAGATTGGAAGTATTAAAATTGACATTAGTAGGGGTTCCACGAAGGGAAAGCAGTCAAAGGACATCTTTTCAAGTGGATGAACTGAGCATCAGATTATGTTGAGAAGGCAACTACAATTAAGTATAAAGTCAAGAATCTCCTTAATACAACATCTATAGAGAAAATTATGATCAAAACACTACTGTAAGATCATGCTATTAGAATTTTTGAAGCACAAATTTTTAATTTTCCAGTTTGATTATAATCCCAAACAGTAGGTAAAAGGCAACTAAATGCACCTGAATTTTATCCCACAAACAACCCTATAGATACAAATATGACAGACCCTTAAAATTCTGCAGTGCTTCCCAAAATTTTGAAATAGAATCGTACCTCAGATAGCCACAAAAACAGCAAGAAGAATCACACCAGGACAGCAACAATAGGCACTAAGAATTTGCTGCACTGTACACGCCTAAACCCAGAAAATTTAAGGGCAAAATCAAGCTTACTAATCTGCAGAAATATCCGTTCATGCCCTAGGAATGTTGGTTACATATAGGTTGTTAAAACAACATAGTTTTTAGTAGTTTATATCTGTGGCTCTTACCTGAAAATTTTAAGGCTAAATTCATGAATCTATTGACGGAATCAAAGCATGAATTTGAGTGGTTAAACACAAGAATTTTCCTCAAAATTCTAAGTAGGATTAGAGGAAGGGAATAGACTAAGATGCCTGTCGTGCTTGAATTCATTGCGAGAAGAGGAAGCCTCAAGAAAGTTGGGGATTTTATAAAACTCAGAACATTAATATCTCTTTATCATTTGAATTACGTAAACCTTAAAATAAGTTTATAGGTAAGATAAAAGAAAATTAGAGTTACAAACTTTAGTTTGAAGATCACTTCCTATAATCTCTTTAGAAGGATTTTTTTATTTTTACCAATGGAAAGAATATTATTATTAGATAAAAAATAATTTTGTTATACATTTCT